AGAGTGTATAGAGCATTAGCAAACACATGAATCAGCCAATTTTCAAAATTTCTAGTTGCACTACTATGCTTAGAATAAAAAGAAAATCACAAAATGCAAAAAAAAACCCACAAAAAAGAGCCCTTTAGAACAAATAAGTTCTTATTATTTAATAGCTTGGGAACAAATGATGCAGATCTCTTCCATTCTTTTCTGCATGAGAAATTCTATATGAAATTTTATCAATATACAAAAGTTCATTTTTAGTTGATTTTTATTGCTTTTAAATTTTTTAAAGAGGAACACTGAAAAGCATTTGTTTTCCTTGTCTACATGAGCATATATGTAAATAATCCTTTAGTTTTCAAGTACACTTCTAAGTAGAATAAATATCAAACGCTGTGTCTTCACTTAGCAGCACAAGGAGGGCTTTAAAAATCTTTGAAACAAATTTTGTAATTGGCTAAAATGAATATATTCATTTCATGCCTGTTCAAGCAAGAGGCAGCTGCTTTCATTGTCCATCCTTCATTGGTTAGGCTGGTTAATGAACATCATTAACCAATACTGAAAAATGTTTCCTTATGCTCTCCTTTATCAGTTTCAGTAAGAAAAAGAAACATATACCTAAAGGAGAGATAATGGAAAAGGAGGAGAAAATCTTACTATTACCAGTTCTAGAACTGACATTTTTAATTCAGGAACACTGAGCAAGCACTGTAGTACCCACATGGGATGGATGTAGTAGCCAGCCAGCCAGCCAGCCAGCCAGCCAGCCAGCCAGCCAGCCACCTACCTACCTACCTACCTACCTACCTACCTTCCTCCCTCCCTCCCTCCCTCCGTGTCTGAACTAACATTTAGTCTTTTGTTAATAAGCTACTTACCTGGCATACAGCTGCTTGGAGCATCGCATCAAAACCCCCTTCAGGTGTATCAATATTGCCAGAAATCTTTTGTTTATTCACTGCATTTCTGAATTCTGCTATATTGTCAGTCAGGGAGAGCACGTGAATATAACCGTGAGGAGGCATACAATCTAAATTATAATCACTGTATAAAAACAAAAAAAGAAAAAAATCTAACACATTCCATATTTTCCATATGAAGGAAATGTGAACATCTATCAACCCACAAAATCCTGTGACTAATGAAGATGTATATACACGCAATAAAAGAAATACTTATAGAAAAAAAACTTAACAACTTCAAGAGAGATTAAGTTCTGTGGGGATTAGTTTGAATTTACTATGAACAAGAGATTTTTTGGTATGTAACGGAAATATATACAATAAAATTTAGTTCCTATAGTAATAGTACATATGTTGTGTTTCTGTACAGAACACGAAGAAACATGATGTGAGTAATGGTACGATCTCAGACAGTATATCATCCCTTTTCAAATATTTCCAGAGTAGTAAGGCTTTGATTTCATTTTCCTGAGAAAGGGCCATTACTCCTCAGTATTAAGATCTTTTACTAGCTGAGTACATGGGCTATTGGATCAAAATTAAAAAATAGTTTAAGTTCCTACATCCATTATTATTAAGTAAATGTACATAATACTAATGATGAGATTACTGACATTACATCATTAAATGGATGGAACACTCCATTTAGTGTATCATAGCTGTAAATTATTTTGAAATTATATATAAAGGGAGAAAAGAAGAAGTTTGATGTAAGTAAGCTAATGCCATTGCACTTGTACAGGTTGCTGCTCTGAGTCCCATTTAGGGCAATGGAATTTAAAGGGAAAGCTGAGGTGTTGATCTGATTTGGAGATCCTGGGCAGGTTTCATCCCATGTACCTTCTGTTGCATATGGTGTAGGCATCTGGCCTATAATCTGCTGCCCCCAAATCAGTTCACAGTCAATGAAGAGAAACTGGTACTGTAGGGATGAATACCTCTGCAGATGTCTACCTTTAAGCAAAGTGAATTGTGTCTTGGCAATGCTAACTGATCTCCATTGGCTACTATAAAGACAGTCTGGAGGACTACTTCACACACAGACATTTATATCTATCTGATCAAACCCACTGCTAGTGCCAAATTAAAAAATCACTTAAAAAAAAAGATACTTATGGACTTCACAGAACTTTGGATCCTGGGATGTCTTCCCAGTCAAGATAACAATGAGCAAGAAGGTATGAATAGTTAAAAGTCACTTCTCCAAGTATTACAGGTTATACAGACTTGAACTGATTATGAATAATCTTGTTCTCCAGAACGTTTTAAAAGTGATCCCTCACTTGGTGTAAGGCTTGAACACAAAGCATAGAAAACATGGCATGAAAACAAAATGCAAGGCAGAAAACCTTTCTTATTTAAAAAGGGAGTTCATCCACATGAGAACTGTGGAATTAGATCAGAGGACCACTTCTGTTCATTAAAAGAGCTAAAAGAAACTGCATAACTTTGAAAAAAAATTGTTCTATGAAAAGTTAATGAATACATGGCCATTCACCAGAAGAGAAGTCCAAAGTCAAAAAGTACAAAATTTTGTGATTAATCTAGGCAACATATATCCAAAATAACTAAGAAAACAATAGCTGATTACAAAATCCAATGCAAAACATATTCAACTATACCAAAGCAGCATGTTGCTTGGCTTGTTTTGCTAAAGAAAGTATTGCACGTTTTTTTCTGATACAGAAACAGTTGTTCTGAAATCACTCACCAGATATTTTAGAAATAATTACTGTGTAATAATTTTCAGCTTTTTCTTAGGAACTTGCTGGAGAACCAAGGTATAATGAAACAAAGATTGTGAAGAGCCTTAAAAATAATTATGCATAAGGCATATTTGTGAAATGCCATAAATTCTCTGTATTACAGTAAATATATGTAAAGACTACATACCTGCATTGGTTATGGATTCTGCCTGGATGGATGCTAATATAGGGTGACACAGTTTTATCTACATAGGATCCAAATCCAAGTCGAAAATCAAGTGAAATATTCACCATCTTTTTAGATAAAGCAAATCCAACAGAATTTAGTTTTTCTATATTGTTGTGCATAGAGGCTGAGACATCAACTAAATAATAAAGATCCACAGGGTATTTCTCTAGAGGTCGAACTTTTAACATAAAGTTTGCTTCACTTCCTGATTCAAAGGAAACAAAGAAGTTTATTTACTATTTTTGAACGGACACTTTGAAAAACACATTTTTTTTTGCAGCAACTTCAGCACAAAGTTGTTTGTGTCAGCAAATAGAAAACAAACAAGAAAACCTCCCAAAAGTAATGACACTTTGAAGTCATAAACAGGCTCTCTGTGGAATATCTGGCCTTTTTTTTTTTTTTTTTTTCCTTTTTTTTTCTTGCAGGAGCACTGTGCAATTTATTGTAAAAATCTGACTTCTCCCCATTTTGTTTTAAATTAGTGATTATGCAATCCCTTTGGCATTATACCAAAAAGCAGCTATGACTCACAAAGGACACAGGTTTGCATACAAATTGCGGTCAGTCACTTCATGGTTGACACTTTTAACTACATAAATGTATCCTGCAAATAGTTTGTCATAGGAGTCTAAAACTACATGTATATTACAAAGACAGCGCAGCCTGAGAAACTTACTTAAATTATGCTTCAAGTTTATATCAATCTACTCCCAAACATTCGATGAGAAAACTCAGTAGGATCAAAATACTATATTTAAGAGGTTTAATATTAAAAAGCCTGTGTTTTGTTGCATATAAAACAGAACTCTCCTTTTAGTTTAGGATGAAAAATGTCTCTGTCTCCTGCGGAACTATATCACGCTCTCGTATGTAATAAAAACTTTAATGCTTTGGAAGCCACTAAAAATAGTCCCCACATTTTTGCATGGCTAATATTCTGTAATGCCAGTAAAATATAGTGAAGTGATTGGAGTATGGGCAACGTAGTAATGTATGACTTCAAGTTATTCACTCAAAGAGTGAACTTACAGAAGAAACAAATGAGTGACTAGGATCTTTAGTTGATGAGTTCAGCATGTAATTCAGTACTATGCAATAAAGATACAGCACAGAATGGGGAGAAGAGAGACATTATAGAGGAATTACGTAGGTTTTCAATACAAGCTGCCTAGACACATTCAGAAACAGATTCACTAAAAAATGACCTGAAATGTGACTTTCCTATTATGACAACTGCTGGTGCTTATGACGCTGCTAGGTAGCATAAATAAAGTATACATAACAAAGATCTGACCCAGAGAAGCTAAACATGCAAAGTACTTTCTTCCAATGCTCTGAACATAATCCACCTGGAAATTTCAGCATGTGCCTGTATCAGGTCTTGCATAGAGAAAACAGAATTTCAGTCTGCTGTAACTTATGCATTTTCTCTTTGCCAATGTAAATCAAATGATTTTTTTACATGACCCTTGTAGGTCTCCAGTTTGCATATAGCAAGCTGCTGTGAGCTATGAGCTTTTATTTTTTCCCACATAAATCCTGACAGTTGGATATATGCAAACTGTTACAAAGAAACCCAGTATCAAAACAAAAACATCTCTGCGTGATTATATGGTATCAAATTACTGTTTTGAGGCAGAACTATAGCTGATTTCCCCAGGAAACAGAATATGGGCAGGATGTCTAAATATCAGAAGTTACTCCTTTGGAGTCCTTGGAATTGCAGTCTTCTGCCATTCTGATGCAAGAGTTTCAGCAAAGTATATGGAACCCCAAATTTAATTCCACTGTTTGCTTGTAAAAAAGGTACATTAAAACAAATTTTAGAAAGCTAAGGGTTTTCTATGAATCCAGTATGCCTCTGGAAATAAATACAACTACAGACACTTCTAGAGCTAGATCAGTTCCTGAGACCATTTCTCAGTACAAAGCAGAATATCAGTCTTTTCTTTGGAAGGAGAGTCAGGAAAGGAGAGGAAGCGATGAAGTTACTTTCTTAGTTTTATTATTATAAAGATGAAAAAAAAGTTCCTTTGTGCTTTACACTTGTGCAGATCCTTCCCTTTTCCCTTGTAATTTACAGAAATTACCTTTTACACAGTGAAGATCAACAAGTTACTATAACTCAGACTTTTCCTATTCACTTAATGTTTTTCTACAAAAGATTGATCCCTGTTAAATGACATTTCTTTCTCCACCTATCATTTGCAGAATAAATAAATTAAATGTCATTATATGAAACATACCCTGCATTTTATATCACCTTCTGCTTCTGCTGTTGGCTACAACTCTTAGAGACAGAGAACATACATTGATTTAACTTGAGTTCAGCTGAGGGCAAATACAGATACACTAGAAAATCTCAGATCCATAAAATGTCTTGTAGATTCTATTAGGGCCAGGTGTCTCACATTTTATAAATTAAACGTTACGCAGTTAATATCTAATTCTCCTTTAGGAATCCAGTCCTTTCTCATATATTTGCTTTGATGTCTTCCTAGTTGTCTAGTCAATGTACTTAAAAGTAGCCAAATAATCAAGAGGATTATCAAATTATGAATTTGGGAATTCTAATCCAATGTACTTTCAGTAATGGATACAGTTTATAGACATGAAAGAAAAAAATATTTTTGTAAGCAGCTAGAGAAAAAGAATCAAGAAACCACAACAGAAAAGACTACTTAAAATCCCTTTTCCACTTATTATTTGCATCATTCTGACCTTCAGCTGTGTTTGACAGAAACACTTCTTGCTGAAGATGATACTCGAATATGGAAACGACACGATCATAGTCCTACAATATCATGTTATAGCAACACTCTTTAAAATAATTATTCCAGCTGCTTCTTCAGAAAAATATTTGTACTTCATATTACTTTATTTAGTTTAAATTGACTATAATATCAATGTGTTAGAGGCAACCCAACCTGGACGCAGTTGGACTGAAACTTTTCCTGGTGTCACTTGTGTATTTGTTTCATGGTCACTGGGTATTGTGACATGAACTGTGGGATTTTCTACAAAATCTGATTGGCAGCCTCTTTTCATTAAGTTGAAAACAGTGTCACAGCGTCCCTTCTGTGTTGCGTCGGCCATGAAATCCTGTTTTATAAGAGACAAAAAGTACAAAACAATCTGAGCTGAAAAAAAGCTGTAGTATCTTCAAAGAAAAGAGAAAAAGAAAATAATGGTCTTTGAAACAATAAAGTACGCTACTATAATTTCACAAATTGTAGAACGAGTTCATGGAAACCGTATGTTTTTAATAAGGGCAAAGACAAAATATTTAAATTATAAGTTAAACCTAATTACCACAATGACATATTTTCTACAAAGGACAAAATTTTTGTATGAGAGAGAGGATCTTGCACAATCAGAACAGACCGACTTGGAGAAAAAAGAAACTGTACTGTCATTGTGTCACAAAAATAGATTCTGTGTTATGCTATGAGTTATACCAAGAAAGTGCCATTCACACAACATCAAAACAGGTTAGTTGTCAGAGGACTCCACTGAAAATGTTACTTATGCTAATATTTAAAAGTAGCAACAGAAGTCAGCTGAATTTTTTTATCATGGATGATTAAGTTTTACCCCATACCCTACCCTAAATCCAAAAACCAGCTGGACTGTATCATTTCAATCCCCAGAAAGGGGGAAGCTATGTAGTACAAAATTGGACAGTGTAAGATGTCACCAACATAAAAAAGTCCCTGTAACAACAGAAAAGTGGTTAGTAGTAGGATGATCTCAGAAGCAGTGCATCCTTTGTTGAAGTGAAAGGGCAAAGTTGCCAAAATTGTGCCAACATGATCCAACGCAAAATTCCTTCCTGACTGCAAATCTGACAATTAACATGATCCTGATCATGCAGGGAAAAAAAAAAAGACAAGATTGTTCGTACTCTTTCAAAGCATTGGTCAATCCTAGCCATAGCTGGAGACCAAACAATGGACATTTCAGAGGCAGATGAAGAAAAGAAACAATCAAAAAGTGCATACAGCCAACTGTGCATTACAGAATAATCACCCAGACACTGAAAATACCAGAGAAAGACCCTAAGAATGACTCAACAAGTCATGAATCTTGTTTTCCAAGTTCCAACTCATTTTTCTAGTTGACTTCAGATACATTTTTTCCATAATCTTCTATAAGATAGACAACAGAGACAACATTTTTAAGATACTGCTATTTATATATCCTTTTTGATGTATATACATTACAAAAGGTGGATTTTTACGTGTATCAAGAACTAAGCCACTCTCACTGCTATCAATAATGACTGATAGCTATGTAACATTTTCTGAAGTTTGCTGGGTGGGGTATGAAGTCAAAGTATCTCAAGTTTTCCTCAAGGATGGTTTTCTCATTAAAAACACTGTTTAGATGAAGCATATATACTAAGCTGAAAATTGCTCCTGTAACTTTACTCTGGAATTTTTTTATCTGCATTAATAGGGGTTTTGCCATTCCTCAACTATGGATGGGTGCATAGGTGAACTGACTATCACAGTGTTGGGTAAAGAGGGTTTGACAAACCCCTGGTTTCTATGAACAGCTCTCAGGATTGATATGAGAAATGAAACAAGAGAAGCAGGGCCAAAGTGAAACTTCGTCAAGTCTGAGCAGTTGGTCAGAAGGAGACCTACTGCAGCTCCATAGCACTGGAAAGCTAAGCAGTGCTGTTCCATGCCAAATACATATGTAGCAGGATAAATCAGTGCACATTATAAGACAGGACATCAGGCAATAATAACAGACCACTCCACATTGTATTCCATTGTGTTTTCTACATGTGCCCCAAGGCTCCTCTTGGTAAACAAGCCCTCCATGCCTCTACTGCATTAATTACACCTGTTGCAGACTAAGTTAATAATTCCTAGAAACACTATCTCAGGTAAAGTTACACCAGTGCCTTATGCTCCTTATCTCCTCCAGGCACACCCTAGGAATTTACCTACCTTCTGTGCTAACCTTAAAGCTACTACACATAATTTGGCTGTGACCTTCAAGACCATGTAAGCTTGTAATTGTCAGTGATATTCTTCAAAACCTTGCTCCTCTGAAGTGCTTAAAATGGTCCAGCCTTACTCAAAATCATGTAATCAACTGAGTTTTTTTTTCTATCAAACAAAACCAGAAATTTGGATATTCTTAAAGTTCTCAAAGCAATAAGAATTTCAGAATAATTCTTGCTCCCTAAGATCTATCTTTGGTGATAAGTCTTAGAAGTGAATGTTTCAATTGTCAAAATAAGAAAAGTATAATTTTTTCCATCTGTGACAGGGTCATAATATATGGTGAAGTCAAAATTAACTCTACTGTTAGGAAAACCTTCTGCTAAATGCAACAGGCATACATGTATAGACTTGCTCTGATATATAATGAGGACTTAAAATAAATTACTGATAAGTAATTTTGCTTTTGAGGCCAAAAACTGCTGAGCTCTCAAAGCTACTATAAGTCTGCCAAAGCTGTCTACAAAACAGATGGAACACATTAAACACTTCTCACTTTATTTAAAATTACTGCTATTTTCCAAATAAAAGAATGTATTTTCTCCTTTGGAAAGAAAATATATTTCACATGATTTCTCAGGTTCTGTCTCCAGAGATCATTGAAAGATTTTCGTGCTATTTCTTCCTATAATCTTCACTCTTTAGAAGTTCTTTATCTTTATAAAGATCAGAAGCACCTATAATACAAAGTCAAAAGTAAAAAAGTGAAATGCCATACCTCTTGAGCACACCATCCACACTCTGGACCCAAAGCAAGACACTTTGTGCATGTTACTGCATTTGAAGTGGCACATCTGTTTTCCTCTGCAATGAAACACAAACCCAAACATTCATGATTTATGATGATACGTGGGAATTGTAAAAGATCTAATTTTAAACCAAGATTTCAAAAATTACTTCACCAGATTAAGAGTGATGACAATGTATACAAACAAAAGTAAAACAGAACAAAGGCACACTGATGAGAGGATAGATGGAGCATTGTTTTTTTAATCTACAGTCTAGAACTATATGTACAGATTGAATAAACTCCATTCTCAAGGCCAAATTTTTAAGATCCTGACTTAGAATTATTTAGAAGTGAAAGTTTATCTTGGGCATTTACCTTGCTGATTTACCGCCTAACAGAAAAAAATTTACCAGGTAGCTTATCTCCTCATAGACATTTCTTTCTAAGTCATTTACACTTGACTGAGTTATTAATTATTCACTCTTCATGGAACCCAAAATATTTTCTCACCTTCTATAAATATTCCCCCTCTGCACTTTCTGGAATGAATATTTTCCCAGAAGAGGTAGATTTTTTTAAATTTTTTTTTGCAAGCAAGTATAAATTTATCCAACATTACGTGTGTCACAGATTGAAGACAAGTAATTCGGTACTAGCAACAGCAAAAACTTTGCCTACTAACAGGTCTATCAGTAAAGCACTTTATACCCTTTTCATGGCTTTGTTTTATACATCACTGCTTAAGTTACTACTCTCTGCAGTTGGAATTGAGAAGAAGAATTAGCCCCTCCAAGGCACTAGGTCAGCTCAACTTCAATGTCAGCACTAGCGGATCCTTTCAGCAGGCTGAGCACAGAGCCCTTGCAGACCAGCGTGCCTCTACATAAGACAGAAATCACCTGCCAGTGCTGTTTAACAACACTGCTTGGTGGTGCATTCAGCATGACATATTATAAAATATACTGGAAACAAAACAAAATGCATTACTGCATACTGGAAAGGCTGTATTTCTTAATTGGTCCATCATGATAATGTGTATATCATTACACCAAAATAGTTTGAAGAAATGTTTGTTTTTCATCCAGAGTTTTGGCTACATGTACTGTGTCTCAGATGATTTCTTTCCAACCTGCAATAATGCAAGCCATCTCTTTCTAGAGTAATGAGAGCAACTTCTCACATTAAAAGATGTATTAGGAAAACACATACTATAATATGTTTTTAATCTTTATTTAACTGATTTCAGCTATGGATTCAAAGAAGAGATCCCATACCACATGAACAGCTAGTCCTCAATAGGTCACTTTGAAAAACTGATGATCCAAGGAACTAATTACAGCTTCCAAGTCATTAGTATTAACAACACACATACCATTACCAGTATGAGCAAGATAGAAAAGCCTAGTATAGAACAATTGCAGCATTATACTGAAAACATACAGGTTCGTGGCAATTTCATTCCTTTCAAAGGTCAAACCTATCTTTCTATTTCATACAAATTGCTGTTGAAATATTTTTGCTGTGCAGGCAATGTGAGAAAAGAAATGCGAAAGAAAGAGAGAGAAACTCTTACGGATGAAAAGCAGTCCAGAAAGGTGCTGGAACAGAGAGGAAACTGATTAAAGGGTGGGAGAGGTGGGCAGGGATTAATAAGGGAGGGGTGACTGAGGAGAGAGAAAAGAACATGACAAAATCCAAAAGGTTTTTGTTTGTTCGTTATAAAAACAAACACAGCAAGTTTGACTTGGATGTGAAATGAGAGCAAGCTCATTTGGCACTGACACAATAAAATCTCTTTGCATTTATAAGAAGATAGCAAAAGTACTTTATGTTCTGGAGTCTGAAAGAGCAAACCTGGAGGCCATACATAGAAAAGGATGCCATAAACCACAAGAAAGGAGAGCAAAGGAGGGAATTCCAGGTAGGTACCAACATGCACGGAGTTGTAGAGCTTGCCACAGATCCCTTTCTAGATAGTATTGGCAAAGCAAAAAGACTGGGGTAAAAAGTTGTTGAAGGTGTAAAAATAAAAGGAATGTAATTGTTCTTGGCACAGAGACACCACTCCCATCTTCAACTTGAAACCAAAGATAGCAGTGATGAAACAAATCACAAGAAAAAGAGAGTAACGTGATGGATTCAGTAAAAGTGTCAAAGGACAAATATGAATTGCTGATGTGCAGAGTAACAGTGGGTGAAGACCACCATGGGACAGAAGAGGGAGGAGATGATATAAACTTTGAAGTTACTGATCAAGTAACGTCCACCATAAGACACAGAAGCGTTCTGATAAGAATAGCTGATGGGAAGAAATGAGAGACATATATATCTAGCTGTACAGATAGGGAATAAGCCAAATTAATTCCTGGTCATCACAATCAGTAAACCAAAGGAAACTAAGCAATCAGCTTGGCCTAATTAATTTCCTGTAGTAATTCTGGAGACTTCTTTCTTAAAATGTATAATCCTAGCTGCACAACACACATTTCCCAAAATAAAATGCCATTGACCATGTAACAAAACTTCCATGTCTTACTATAATGTGCATTTGCTAAAAATTTGTTTTTCCTGTATGGTTACTTAGGTACTGAATCTATTAAAGTTTGCTTTAGTTTATTATAACAACTTACGTGGTAAAAAAGGGGGTGGGGTAGGAGCGTGTCTTCCTAAACTGCTGGGGCAGAAAAAAAGATCTTAATGTCCAGTTTGGGATTATAATGTGATCATGGCAGACAAAATGCTTTAACAATGCTGGATACAAATCTCTTTGCTGATAACTCTCCAACCTCAAGAGCCCCATTTTCACAATATGAAGTCACAGATTGGCAATTGATAACCTTGGTATCATTGGCTCAAAGAGCTGATTTTTCTGGACTAAAGAGAAACTTGAAAAAGGTTTATTAATGCCTGAAACACATTCTGGCTCTATCACTACTACAGTTCCCAAGTACATAGTCCCTTATAGCAGTAACATTTACGGACATGCTTTCAGTCACCAAATATTTATTATTTAGGTATAGGCCTACTCTAAAACCATAACTGATTTTGTATAAACTTCTTGATTTCTTTTAAAAACCATATGCTAAAGCATGAAACATTTTTATGAATTGGCTGAAAAAGAACTGAGGCTCTTCCTGCCACTTCACCAAAAACAATCCAGACAAGACTGAGTTACTGTTCAGCCAAAGTAAGGGCAAGTTTCTGCTGGCTTAGTTATTACTGATGTATGCCAAAAGGTATTTTCAACAAGGGCCAAATTCTATGCTGGGAACTGCACAGGCATATGCATATAATAAAAATGAGTGCAGCAGGTTAAACTCCACTTTTCCAGCCTCCTCCACAAAATACAATCGTGTTCCAAGAATTGCAGCTATTTACAGTCATCACAGGTGTGGCAAGCCTAAACTCTCAGCAACAAGTGGGATCTAGGCAAGGCAAACATCATATATGTTATAATTGTATCCTGCCTCCCTATTATGAAAATAACTTCATAATGATCAGGGTATCTCAGAGATGGAGTAACAGTAACGTACACTGGCATTTCAGAGGGGATGTTAAACAGGTTTTCAGTCAGGCAGCACTTTGTTCAAGTATAGCCAAGAATTCTGATTTATATCAACTTCACTGTTGGTACACGTTTGTGCTGTTTTTGGAGGGTGTACCATTTGCTTTCTTAACAGAGAAAGCCAAAACATAACTAGCAGCTTATACTCCCTGATCATGGTCCTCAGACCGTTGAGCACTAGTTAAGGCAAGAAGAAAGGAAACTATTTAGCCTTTACAGAGCTTTTTTCCTTTAATTCTATATCCAATCTTGCCCTAGGGCAGCAATCAGCCAGGCTGTCCCTCTCCACAGATAACATCACCTTCATAACATGCGTGTAGCATCACTTCTGAGGAAAGCTGCCTTTTATGCAGTATCCTGCAGTTACCTTCACCATGCTGCCTTTCTTTGAGAGCTAAACATGACTCCGGTAGTGGGGATGGGCAGGAACTTTTCCAGCTAACACACAGCTTCTCAATTCACTTTGGCTGAACGTGCAGATACAATGAAAAGCATTATAAAAATGTTACAGAAGGGGAATTTTTTTCATTATTATTGTGTCTGACACTTACTTGCTCAGATTACAAGGAAAAAATGAGTGCCTGTGCTTTAACTGCCAGTCCTAAAGCCTAATCCTGGAATTAGGGTTTTCTCCCCCTCTTCCAAACAAGGAATAATTCTCTCTACCTTTTGCAATGCTATGCTTTAGAAAAAAGCTTTGTCACCACTACTTTTTCTAAGAGGGTTACAAGGTACACCAATTAGCTTTAAGAGGTCCTTGCCCAGAAAAGGAGATTTCAACTTGAAAACTGTACATCTATTATAGTAAGTTCCTAAGATTACTTGACAAAAGAAAAAAAACAGACTACTTTTCTGCCTTTTTTTTTTGACTTCCACACTGGATTTATTAATTGGTTTCACTTCTCTGTTAAAGGTTGTGCACTTTAGTTTCTGCACACAGATTTGAAAATATCCTTTACCAGCAAGAGAAACAGCAGTAGACTAGAACTCAGTATGTAAGAGACACAGGTGTTTGCTAAGAAAAATATGTGTAAAAGAAAGGTGCAAAATACAGCTGGCAGTGTTAAATCTTGAGCCCTGGAAAAATATTTCTGTAAACCTGGCAAGTGAGTAAAAGGAAAAATACTTTTGTAAACATGGCAAGTAATTAAAAACACCTTTCCATTAAAACAAACAAGTAAACAAAAAAACCCTGAAACAACAAGAACAAAACTTTAGACCTTCCTTTTTCCATTAGTAATCAAAACAAACAAACAGACAAAAAGTGTTACAGTGTTCCTAAAAAGAAAAATGGAGTATACTGGAAGAATTACACAGTAATGTGGCTCTAGAGAAGGCAAGAGATACAAAAGAGACATAAAAAAGATAGATGCACATCAGGATAAATGCAGGGAAAAGCATCACTAGCAAACCAGTCCCAATGGCTGATATTGGCTCCAATTCCTACTCTGCCAATATCTCCCTGATACTTTTGGGGTTCCCCAACTGATCTGCCTTATAATAT